TAGTAGTAGTATTATTCCCTTTTAGCTGAGTCTAGTACACACGTGTGTTCTTAGCATGTTATTGCACATGCTGCCCCCAGTCCATACATGTAGTTATTAACCACTATCATTAGTCTCTCAGGGTTTACGTATTTATGATTTGGAGAGTATTTGCTCAATTTGAAATTTACATGATTTGTTTCCCTGATCTGAAAATCCAGCTTTGTTGTTCTGGCTCTGAAGCCATCTCTAATAATAAAGATCCTGCAATCAGAATACAGCTGCTAATCATGCTGCTGAGGGAGAGTAGGCTCTGCAGGACTTAAGGTACTAAAAATGTCTGTCAGTATAGAAGCCAGTGTGAATCATGGACAAAGAAGGTACCACTTTGCAGCTGAATCCTACAAATACCTACCTCTGGGCATAGACCAACACAATCAGAAGTGAGTAGTGCTTTTGTAAGCTTCAGTATTTGAGTGCTCAACCCTTAAAGGGGTTAGATTACATGATGCATGGGCAACTCCCAAAATCACTAGTTACTTCTGAAAATCTTGACCTTAGGTACTTAGGAGGCTAACTCTCATTGAAACTCAATGAGACTTAGACTCAAGTCCCTAAGGGTATGTCTATGCTGCAATTAAAAACCCGCGGCTGGCCTGTGCCAACTGACTCGGGCTCACGGGGCTCGGGCAAAGGGTCTGGTTAACCCCGCAGGGTCCTAGAGCTTGGTCTCTACCCCAAGCCGAAATGTCGACCCCGCAATTAAACAGCCCCTTAGCCTGAGCCTCACAAGCTCAAGTCAGCTGGCATTTGCCAGCCACAGGTTTTTAATTGCAGTGTAGACATACCCTAGGTCACTTTTAAAAATGGAACTTTGGGCTGGTCTACACTGGGGGGGGATCGATCCAAAATATGCAACTTCTGTCGAAGTATCTTGGATCGAATTACCTGGGGTCCACACGGCGCGGGATCGACGGCCGCGGCTCCCCCGTCGACTGCGCTACCGCCGCTCGCTCTGGTGAAGTTCCGAAGTCGACGGTGAGCGCGTTCGGGGATCAATATATCGCATCTTAATGAGACGCGATATGTCGATCCCGGATAAATCGATTGCTGCCCGCCGAAACGGAGGGTAGTGAAGACGTACCCTTTGACTTAGACACGTTTGAGACTTTTACCTTGTACCTTCTTTATGATCTCTTTGGGCTCATCAGGTATTAGTTGCACTGAACATGTTTTTGCTGCACTTTTGTGTATTGTTTCCTGTAAATACAGCACTCTACTAATGCTCCTATGTTTTGGATTTACTTTCATTTTTAGGAATTAGTCCTGTTTACATAGGAGTGCATTTGGGATCTGTTCCGGTATGACCACCTGTGTGCTTGTTTCTTCCTATTTATCGCAATATAACTCATCCACTCATTTTCAGCTTTAATGGGTGCTTCCCTTCCTGCTATGCACTGGAGGCAAAAAAAATAATAATAATCAGTGCCATTCACCTGCTTACGCCGTTATACTAAGGCAAACTTCATTTTCTCCCACTTTCCTAGGTGATAACTAGAGCTGTGCAAAAGTAGAGGTGGGGTGCGGTGCTTTGGTTTAAAAATTTCACCATTTTAGTTTCAGGCAATTTCGTGTCACTGAAAATTCATTTCTCTGCAAAATATTGAGCATCTGGGTTTGCACACTCAGAAATTTCAGCAGCCGTGGAATAGTAGCGGTCTGATTTTTTCTTTTGTACATTGTAAGTGGGGAAAGAGGAGAGGAAAGACAGAGTGAAATATATGGCGCTACTACTGCTGACTCTCCCATCTCCCTTTTCTCTGCCCCAAGTTTCTTCTGTCAAAGCTGACCCAGCGATGCTCATACGTAAATAGCCAGTGGTTTGACCCCTGGGCCACATGCCTGTTGAGATTTAGAGCTAGACTGTCACTTCATGACCTGCAGCATATCGTTCTGCTGCCCCACAAGCAACCTGGGGGAAAGTGTGACTCAAAGAGTCACAATCTGTCTCCCAGACTCCCCTCTGCTTGCAGGAAGAAAGAAATTGCATCAGGCCTATACTTGGCATGCTGGCCAGCTACACAGACAAGCATATTAGCATTAGAGCCAAAGCTATGTACAGTCCCCAGCCCCTCTTACCCACCTGTGCAGGGGGAGAGGTAGCCATTCTGTGAAGTTTGATTGCCCTCTCTTGCTTCCATTAGTGCTATGGGTAGTCCACACAAATACACCCCCCCTTACTTGCTTGTATAGCCATTGAGCCCTTAGCAAGTTGTGTTCTGTGTCCATTGAGAACAGCAATAAATCAAGGGCCATCGTTTTTGGGAGGGTTTTACCAACTTTTCATTTAAGCAAGAGGGCCATGAAGTGTTTACAATGGAATTTATGCCAAGCGGGGACTAGATCGGAAGAGGTGAGCTTACCTCCAGAGCAGGTGGAGTAAAAGAGCAGTCGGCATTTAGATGCGGAAGTGTATTCACAATTGCACATACAGAAGAGCATCTGCAGCAGCAACAGCAGCAAATCTGGCCTGTTCCTTACCAGGACGCCATAATGTTCTCATGTCTTAGGCCCGGCATATGCACAGTGAGAGGTGTGACTAAAACAAAAGAATACATTCACGTAGTGGCAAAGTTACAGACCTTCTGATCTGATTTGCAACCAAGCTCACTTTTCAGTGTTGAAAATGTGCAGGCAAAGTATTACTGAATGTGTCCTGTGCGCTCAATTATACGCTGCACTGAGCATATGCTCTGCTTACATACTGGGGTGAGATGCATAGCTTAAGTTCTCCATATACACACTGGTTGTTAGTGTTGGCCACCATTTCCCACTGCTTCACTGTGAACCACAGAAACAGTCTTTTTCGCCATTAAATAAGTCTCACTCTACTTCTAGCAAGTTCTTCTTAAAAAAACAAAACAAAAAAAACTTGTAAATTGCTAATGTTTCTCATTTCTTGTTTCAAATATTTTGCAGCGCTCTAGTTATATGGGAAAGTCATAGTCTAGATCTTATTCCAATTCAGTTCAACCACCTCACTCTTGCCCTCCAGTGGCTTATCATCCAGAAATGGGAATGGATAGCAAACCAGGGAGTTTTCAGGAGCTCTTCTGATTTATCACGCATCATGGATAAAGGCTTTCACAGCTTGATATCTGCTACCAGGCACTCTGCACACCTATGGCTTTTCTAATCCAATCAACAAACAAGTGTTCAAACTGATAAGAATGAACAACAGGCAAGGAAGCACACAAAGCACAATCAAGCTCAATAGAAACCTTTACTTATCCCTTAGTTTTGCCTCCACCAAAAATAAAGGCTTAATGCCTTGTATAAATCAGCGTCACTCTACTTCTGCCTTTCTGTTGTTGACCTCTCAAAGTTCAAGCTCACATCCAAAATCAGGGCTGTAGACTGTAAGAGGACCTGCCTCCTTCTATCACTGATGTGCATGTTTCTTTTATTCTGCATGTTTAACAATCGTTTAGGAGGATGGTGCATTCCATGCTGTTTTAATTCTCATAAAGTTTTAATATTCATTTTATAAGGTTACACTTTGTCCCCACAAAACACTTGGTTTGCAGCAGATGATGTTTTCGCATGCTTTGCTTTCCAGCTGCCTAAATACAGCACTAGTCTATTAATCTGGAAGAGTTCTTTCGTGTGGAAGAAACAAGCTCTATGCTCATTTGATGCCAAAGCTGAATGTGAATGCACTTGTGTGGTATTTTTTATGAGTCAACCATAGCTCTCTTTTCCAAGGACAGTTGCTGCTTTAATGGTGCATGCACTAGGGTCCCTCAGTATAGTCCATTGATGTTAATAGGAGTCCTTCCATCAACTAGGCTTCAAATGAGGCCTGTTATACCTACCTCACCTATAGTAGGCATTGCAGCCATGAAAGTGGCGCTAAATAGGCCCAGTGAGGGGTGGAGAAATGGGTTCTATCCAGACAACTTGCAAGAAAGACAGTACTTGATTTCATGAATCTCAACATTGTCTAGCTTCTGCTCACGTAGGGAATTATTTTCCTGATATTAAATAAAATGTAATTGATGTTTAATTTTTATTTTTCAAATGGCAGAAAAAAGCCAAAGGTTGTATCTTGGGTAGTCAAATGAGAGAAAACTCCAAGGCAGTTTAGGTTCCCACTGTTCTCTCCGAGGAGTAGTTTATCTACAGAGAAAGCAGTAGGATTTAAGAAAATAATATTGTACAGCTTCAAAAACCCAGTTACAGTAGAGCAGTGGCACTCAAACTATTATACTGGTGATCCCTTTCACATAGCAAGCCTCTGAGTGCGACCCCCCCCCTTATAAATTAAAAACACTTTTAAATATATTTAACACCATTATAAATGCTGGCGGCAAAGCAGGGTTGGGGTGGAGGTTGACAGCTCGCGACCCCCCATGTAATAAACTCACGACCCCCTGAGGGGTCCCAACCCTCAGTTTGAGAACCCCTGCAGTAGAGCCTTGCTCATTTGTGCCAATGACTGCACTGTTGTGAATAACTGACTTGTGCAAATTAGAACCAGCCTCTCTGATACCCTTACTCACATTGAGTAGCAGCTTACTGCTCAAGCAGTCCCATTGAAGTCAATTCAATGATTCATGTGCTTAAAGTCAAGCGTGTGTTCAAGTGCTTTGTTGGATGGGAACCTTTGTGTGCTTCTGCTGTACTGCAAATGAATTTGTATTGATTTTGAAGACTGAATGATTTAAACTATAGAAACAGCTGCTCACTATTTTAATTTCCTTGTTTTATCATCAGAGGGTGAAAACTTGTGACAATCTCGCTGTTTCCAAACATACAGATATGTGAAGGAAAAGCCCAAATTACTACTTTCCTGTGGTCAGCTCCAATTCTTGTCATGAGGAAATTAGAGATTGTGTCATGTGCTAATTTGGAATGAATAGGGGGCAGCTAGTTCAATCCTTTGACATTACTGTACTAAACTAATCTGTTCAAGCCAATCTAACTTGTTTTCCTGACTGTTTTTGTTTATGGTGTACTAGCTGCTTGGTGCAGGCCTGACCGCCTATTTTAACTATGTTCTCTATAAGGAAGAGGAAGAAGATGCGTATTCTGTAATGTGACTGGTTAGCCTTCTATACCCCTACTATGGTATGGTGTGTATGGTATTCTTTTAAATGCATGCCTGGGAATGCTCTTGTGGCTTGTGACCATCTTGCATGATTCTTTTTGTTTTTCTGGGTGTTTGGTAAAAGGCTGTCAGCTCTTTCTGCACAGCACAACCTTACTGAAAGGCAGGCTTGCAATGGCTTTGCATGAGATTTGCCTGCCTTTGTGGAGTTGTGTAAGAGCAAATAAGCACTAAGGATGATTAAATGTTTGTAAAACATAACATAAGGGCTAATCTTGCAAACTCACCCTTCCAAGACCAACCCTTACATGAGCAGTTCCACTGAAGTCAATGGGTCTACAGTGGCTCCCTTTACTTTTTAATGGCTTTTGTGACTAACTAACAGCACAGCAATGTTAGTAGAATTCTCCAAGTAGTCCTTTTGCTATAGGGAATACAGCAATAAAGTTACACGTTTCAGAGTAGCAGCCGTGTTAGTCTGTATCCGCAAAAAGAAGAACAGGAGTACTTGTGGCACCTTAGAGACTAACAAATTTATTAGAGCATAAGCTTTCGTGGACTACAGCCCACTTCTTCGGATGCATATAGAATGGAACATATATTGAGGAGATATAT